TGACAAGCAAAACAACCAGTTAATTTCCAAACTGTGCAAAAGTAGCCCCGAAAAGTGCGACAAGCTGTGCAAAGAGGGTGGTGCAGGGTGTCTGCTAGGGTCGTTTCGTGGTCAGACTTGATTTGATACACCGCAACTAGTTCAAAACTATAGTGGAGGGGCCAGCACATCAAATGTACTGGGGTATTGTCTGCGTGTGTGGGACTGCAACTTCGACTGGACTGGTTTTTAGTTGGGCGCAGTTTAGGCCCGTCCCGGCAATAGAACTACAACAACAGCTGTGCGAAGCTCGATGGACTGGCTGGTCAGCGGCAGCGGCAGCGTCAGCGTCAGCGTAAAAACTATAAAACTTGTTTCTGTCCAAACACGGAGGCACGTTCGGAACCACTGTCCAGCTCTCTCGGCCCCTGCTAACCTCACTGTATTTGTGTATATATAAAAGCTCGCCCTACTGCAAGCCAGTCTAAAATATCTTCCGGTTAGCAGCAGCAGCTACAACAACGCAGACAACAACCACAACAACAACAACTGTGCAACACGCCATTTGGACGCAGTTCCGTCGACGGCTTTCAGAGATTTTCTATTGTTAAGAAGGCGGTTCCCAAAAAGCCGCCACCGCCGCAGCCGCCGCCGTCTGCTTTGGTCTTTTCTTGCCTTTTTTTTCTGTTTCACGCCGTTCGCATTTTTCCATTGTTTGTTGTGATTTGGAGAATTACGAAATTCTCTAGTGAACGAGGCTGAAACCCAGAGCGGTGGCTGTAGGGTAAGAGTACGAGATATGGATCTATTGTAGTTTCGCAATAAATTTTATAAAAATAGAGGTTTTAGTGCTTTTGCAACTGTATGCTTCGATCAGGCGACTGTAAAACCTATGGATATAAAAAGCAGAGGAGATAATTGCAAGTGGACAATAAAGTTTTAATGTTAAAAATACATTTAAACGGAAAATATTTATTATTAACAATCGCTTGCCCTCAATAGGCAGTATTTGTTTGGGTGGATAATATGGAATTCTTATAAACAATTTACTTGAAATTATTTCATTCTGCTGCTTTTTCAGTTCTGCAATCTTGAAACAAGTAATCAAAATTCCTATGATATTTAGCTTCGGCCCATCGATAAATGTTTATAAGCTTCATTTGTGAATACACGATTCCCATAATTAATTTTTTCCATTCAATTTCAAAACAATATTATTATTATTATTTGTATATCTCTCTCATCATTATGGCAACAACAAACTTACGAAATGATTGAAAGGTCAACAAAGTGACGAAGTTCAATGCCATAGATCATAGTCTCTCTCTCTGTCTCTCTCTCTCTCTCTCTCTTGCTCTTACTCTTCCTCTCTTTTTATTCGTTAATTGATTGTTAAAAGATCATCAGAAATAAAAATAAAAATTAATTAACTGCGCGTTTAAATGGAAAAAAGGCCTTGGTTCAATTTTGAAGTGATTTCACACTTAAAAATCACAAGTGTAAAAAAATAAATCTGAAAATCTTTTACAGTATATATTTACACATGTATGTATCATATATCGTATATTAAATATTATACATCAGTGCAAAGAAGATCTCTTATCGAATAAATTATCTTTTATATAAAAAAAAATTCACAAATAAAAGAAATGGAAAAAAATAACTTTGTTAAACTTATTTGTTTTTTAACTTCAATACAAACACTAAATTGCTAATTTTCGATTCAGGTCATTCAAATAAATATGTCAGACTTTGTTTCAATCTAATGTTGGTATTTTACTCTTAAATAACCCAGTACGAGGCTATTTGCAATCGCCCACTTCATATTCCAGTTGCACCTCATGTGCAAAGCGCCTTAGCAACCGACAAAATTGGCTATCAATTCACGTAGCCCCAAACTCCCATAACCCATTTACCTAACAAAATACTCTCTGCACATCACATTAGGGGCAATAGCGATTTTTAATGAACATAACTAAGTTAGTTGGGTGGAATATGTGTTTTATTTTTGCTGTTTCTTTGATGATGTGAAACTGACATTCTATTCGCTGCTTCAGTGGGAAGTAGGAAGAGAAGAAGACATAAAAAAAACAAGCGGTAAATGGTTAAGGGAAATATTTACGACTATCACATACCCTGTGTTTTAGTGCTAATCTAACATCAAACGTACACAACTTAGATTTTATATTAATGAACGTACACATCAGTTGTATTTTCTATTTTATATCAATGTTACCTATTAAATACATTTACATATAATTAACGCATTCAGCTTACACTCGACAAAGCAGAGTATAAACTCAAACAAACAAAATCAAATAGATGCGAACCATGTGAATATGAAACAATATGTAATTTCTACGCAAAAATCTCTGTACATCGGCCGACGGCAGGCGTAACAGCACAACAGAAATAATAACATGAAACATTGAAGACAGTGGGAAGAGGGAGGCGGGCAGTGGGGAATAACTCAAAAGAAAAAAGACGTGGCAGCAGCAGAAAATTGACGTTGATGTAGTTGACTTACCCACTGAGGCTGATGTTGATGCTGGTGCAGCTGCTGTGCGAGTGAGAGAGCCGCTGGGCGGCTGACCTGAGCTTTGGGGGCCACTCGCTGTCGCTTGGAATGTGCCCGCTGTTGCGTTTTTTTTTTGTTTCTGCTTTTTGCTTTTTTCTTTCAAGCCAATGCCGGCGTCAATTGTTGTTATTGTTGCTTCTTTTTTGCTGGGCAAAAAGGTGACGGCACTCGTTCGCTGTCTCTGCACCTCTGCCTACATTCGTTTAACTCTTTCTTTCGCTGCAATAAACTACCGTTACTTTGACTGAAGGGCATCCACACACATACACAGATGCAAACACAGAAACCGCACCGCAAATATTTCAAACAATTACATTTTGTATTTTATTTTTTTTGCGCTTATTCACATATTAAACAGGTTTTTTTCGATATTTTTTCTTTTGACAAATTAATAAAATTAAATAAATATACAAGAAAAATAAATAGTTTTTTATGTTACGTTTCGCGGCATAGCGCAAAACCAGAACAAAACAAAAAGCACGCGACGCACGTATTGCTGCAAGCAGCAAACGGCAACCAGAAAGCAACGGGCAGCGACGTGTTGGCTTCTGCTACCTCAATGTCAACGTCGACGTCGACGTCGCAACGCGTCGGCAGCCGCACATTGACTAAATTGAATTTCTGGCCTGCAATTTGCGCTTTTAATTGAATCATTAAAAAGAGGGCAAAAAGATTATGATTACGCCATTTATGCTCCTAAGTCTAGCCCCACAACTCAAATGCCCCCCTTTCACATCATTGTTGTAATTGTTCCGATTGCCTTTTGGTTGCTGTATGTGTTGGAATGGGTGAGTGTGTTCGTATGCATTTGTATTTGAATATTTGTTTATTTCATGCCAATTACATTGGCAACTGAAATATTTAATTACAGCCCCAGGCGCAAATGCAATTTAAAGCAAATTACATATTTGTAATGGTTTGTAATTGAACTGTTTTAGTCCACAAATAAATTGTTTCAACAAACTCACACACTCACACACACACGCGCGCTATCGCACACATGGAAACGGATACGCAGCCTCATGCACAAACAAAAACCAGACAGACAACTATTTTTACAGCCTACGCTACCGCCTGCTGCGCTGTTGCTGCTGACGCGTTCGAAGCTGCAGAACGCTTCGACTTGCTAACTTCTTTTTCTTTAGAAAAATAAAGTTTTTTTTTTCTGTTCCTGTATGCTTTTGCTCTTAGACGATGTACTCAATATTCATTAGCTATAATTTTCACTTGGCGGCATTTCAAAACTCACATATAAACAACGTGCAGAAGAACTTTAACACAAACACAAACGCGCGAGCGTTGCTTGGTGAACTGATTTTATAAACAAAGCCGCCGACGCAATTTAAATCGACGGCCGCGACACATCCGTACGCGACCAAAGAAGAAGACAAACTAATAACAGGTGTTCAACAGGTGACCAAGCTGCCAACTGAACTAAAAGTTGAGTGGGACTGCCAACTTAGTTTCTAATCACTGAATTTTGAGTTTAACATCACACAAATCAGCTGATTGTTCTGTTGTGTTAAATAACATACAAGCACTATGTTATAGTAGTATTAACCAAAATTGAAATTTTGTATGTGAAATACTTTTGATATAACTAGAAATTTGTTTAACTATGTAATATTTTATTAGTATTTTCTAAACATAACATTAGGATTCTGAATATTAAAGTATTCAAAATTTACTACCTGTTGCTGTATTTATTTGTTGCTACACGGCCCTAACCATTGGTTAAATAAGGGGAATTATATTTAACATGTTTACTGGTTATATAGAAGTTTTACTGTATACGAATTTACTTTAAAAATAAATAAACTAAGGTAAAGCTTCCTAATAAAATATTAGCTTTGTCGCACCATTATTGAAATAATGTAACTTAACTTTTTTTCGGAGTTTTGTAATTAAAATAGATGACACTATTACAAGCAAATACAACAACCGAAAAATACCCATAGTAGCCAGCTGTAGATGGCGCAACTTCATCTTCGGACGTAAACGAGTACACAAACCAAAATATATAAGGACAATGCGAACTGTAGATGGCGAAACGATATCAATTACAATTAGCAAAGACATAAACCAAAACCATAGATGGCGCAAGGCTATGACTTCTACTTGACAACGATGCTTACATTTTTAGAGTTAGACTTGACAAATCGCTTATTTATATTATCTGATTTTAGCTGTAGATGGCGCAATTGCAAATTGCAATTGATATCACGCTAAATGCAAAACTTCGCTGTTTAAAAGCCTTGCAAATCTAAGAGTTTTTAAAAGCTGTAATTCACCCGAAACTCCACTGAAAGCCCACACAGTTATACACTTTTTTTTGTAAACAAATTCTTTATATTTGCTTGTATTTTTCAGTTTGTTTTTCAAATATTTTTTTGTAATTTTTTATATTTTTTTTTTTTGTAAAACTTTGTTTTAAGATGTTCTCTCATTTATCTTTTTGTTTTGTTTGCATTTGTATATAAATAATAATACTTATGGCTACAATATAGTAAACGTTTTTCGATTTTGCTTCATGTTCTTGTTGTTTTTATGTAGTTTTTGTCTACCAAATATTATTTGCTGTGATTTGTTTTTCTGCAAAATTGATATTCTTCCAATTTCTTATTGTGTGTATGTGTTTTTGCGTGAGTGTAAGTGTGTGTATGTGAGTGTGAAATCGAAAAACTGCAACAATTGCAACTAACAAAGCTAAAGTTACATGTCATACGCGCTAATATAGATATATTTATCATATATATACTATATATGTATATATAATTCTGTTTTTGCTTTTAACTTAGATGCTAGAAGTTGTTCTCTTCATTACATTTGACATTTTACAATATTTACACTTAAAAAAATTTGCTAATAGTTTTCATTTGTCATACCATTTTCTTCTCTTAGTTTTTTTTTCTCATTTTCAATACAATTGCAATTATCTCTGCTAGCGCCCCCTGTCGGCGATTGCTTGTTGTCTGGGCTTTTAGGTAAAAACGGATTGGGCGGCTTTTTATAGGGGGTGGTCGGATGGGGGGAAGTGTTAGGGGGAGGGACGGGGCAACATGCACGTTCACAACCTGAGCATAATTCGAAATTACGTTAACAGTATTTCTGTTTCATTTCTTTGCTACAACAATTACACATATTGAATACTGCTTGGAATTGGGCTGTGGCGCCACCTGGACAGGCGTGACCCGCACGCTAAGCCCGGCGGCTGCCACAGCCGATGTCTCCGGCGCAATCAAACACCTACAACTGATACTAACTGCCGACCATAATGTGAGCGGGCTGTTCCAGCTCGTTGGAGCTAACGACCGTTGCGCTTAAGCCACTCTTGAACAGCTCGTCGGAGCTGAGCTTGCAGCTGGGCACCAGCTCGGTGAACTCCGACCCGAGACCGAACTCCATGTCCAGGAATCCGTATTCCCACGTGTTCGCGCCTGCCGACACGTTCGAGCTGATGCTGCTCACATAAGAGGATGTCAGCGAGTGCGTCGCGGAGGAGATGGTCGACAGAGTAGTGAACGTGGCCGTTGTGGACGAGGCCGAGGAGTGACTGCTGCTCTGGCTGGCGCTCGCCTGCACCGTGGTGAAGCTGCCGCTGAACGCTAGAGTGGAGCCACTGCTCGCTATGCAAACGGGCACCGCTGTGGGCGTGGCGGCGGCTGGGAGTATGTTGAACAGATCGTTGTTGTTGAGCGGATCCAGCGCCGACTGCGAGCTGAGGCTGAGCACCGAGCTCCAGTTAATGGAGCGCGTCGAATCGTCGTCCGCATAGCCCGAGTCGCTTGAGTCACAGGCGCTGACCGCGCTCGTTGCGGCGCTGCTGGGGCTGCTGCTGCTACTGCTGCTGGTGGAGGTGGCGCTCGAGCACGGCGCGGCCGGACCCGCTGTCGCTGGGGCGGCTGCGCTGCTGCTGCTGTTGTTGCTGCTGCTGCTGCTGGAGCTGACGATGGCAGGGATGACGCTAGCACTGCTCGCCGCATTAGCAGCGGGCGGTGCAGCGGCTGCTGCTGCAGCCGCGACTGCGACTGCTGTCGCTGTCGTCTGACAGGTGGGGAAGGGCGTGGCACGGCCCGATTGCGACTCCCGGAAGGGATAGTGATCGTAGGGATGTAGCGTGGTGCTGCACGACGTATCACAATTGCTGGTCGCCGAGACGGCTGCCACATGTCCAGGCTGGGCCACTGGAAAGCCACCAGGAGCAGCTGCAGCAGCTGCCGATCTGTATGGCGGCGGCGGCGCCTCCAGCCGCTCGTGATAGCCAAGCGGCGCTTGCGGCTGAAAGCTAGGCGCCTGCGCCAGCTGCTGATAGTGATCCATGTTGGCCAGCCGAGCGCAGTTCAGCACAGGCGCGTAGTCTTGATGATGCAGCGGCGCTGGGGGAACTTGCTGCTGCTGCTGCTGCTGCTGTTGCTGCTGCTGCTGCTGCTGCTGCTGCTGTTGCTGTTGCTGCTGCTGTTGCTGCTGCTGCTGCTGCTGCTGCTGATAGGCCGGATGATATTGAGCTGCCTGCGCGGCGGCAGCAGCTGCTGCGGCTGCTGCCTGCTGATGATGCTGCTGCGCCGCATGATGCAGCTCCTTGGCCTCCGCCTCGATCTCTCGGTCGATGCGCTTCAGCGTGTTGCAGATGAGCACCGAGCGGTAGAGCGACTGCTCCGACACCTGGCGAAAGCGTGAGAGCTTGAACATGGACAGATTGCGGATCTTCAGGCGCGTGTCCTTGTAGCAGCTGCGATTGGCACTGCACCAGCCGCCACGTCCGTCGCAGCAGCGCTTCAGCGGCAGGCCGTGCAGCGGCAGCGGCAGCCCACCAGCCACGAACGGAGCCGGCGCGGCGACTCCATTGCTGCTGGGCAGCGCGCTCGTTGGCGTGGCTGTGGCCACACTGCTGCAGCCCAGATCCAAATAGGACTTGCCGTTCTCTGCACAGCGTATGGTTTGCTGTGGTGCCTGCTGCGCGTAGACGACTCCCACGCCGCCGCCATTCTCATAGAATTGCTGCTGCTGCTGCGCAGAGCTGGGCGTGGCCGCGGCACCGCTTGTCGCTCCGGCTGAGCCGGCGCCAGCTGCGGCGCCTGTCGTTGTCCACTGAGGCGGTGCGAAGCCTCGCGGCGTCATATGCTGCGGGCTGCCGGTACGCGAGCAATTCTGCTGCGGGAACGGCTCCGAGTAGTAGGAGGGCCGACTGCCATAGCCGGGAGGGTAGCTGCGCTGCTGCTGCGCTGCTGCGGCGGCAGCTGCGGCCGCCTGTTGCTGATGTTGTTGCTGCTGCTGCTGCTGTTGCTGCTGCTGCTGCTGCTGTTGCTGCTGCTGCTGCTGCTGTTGCTGCTGCTGCTGCTGCTGCTGTTGCTGGGCAAACGGATGATAGCGAATGGGACAGTAGGTGGGTATAATACTCTCCTCCTCCTCGTAGTCATCTTCAAAGTCATCGTCGTCGTCGTCCAGCTCGTCGGCGCTGAGCAGCGTGGTGGCTAGCGTCGAGCGCGTGGCTATGCTGCCCCAGGGATCGCTCGGCACGGCCACCGCCTGCAGCTTGGAGATGCAGTCGACGGGCTCGCTGTTGGCCGCTGCCACGGGTGACGCCGCCGTTGCCCAAGGCTCGCAGGGCACTGCGGCAACCACCTCGAGCTTGGCGATGTTGTCCTCGGGTATCGCGGCACTCGCTGTGGGTGGCAGCGGCACCTCCGCGGGACTCTTGATGTTGCTGCTGCTGCTGTTGTTGTTGCTAGTAACTTCGTCACCGTTGCTAATAATACTATGCGCTGGCTTCGCGGGCTCCACGTTGTTGTTGTTGGATTCCGTGAGCTGTTCCGTGGGCGTCTTTTGCTGCTGCTGCTGCTCCTCGAGCGATTCCAGGTAGTTGTTGTTGTTGATGGCCCATTTGTTGGCCTTCACCGGGGGCGGGGCACAGTTGCCAGTGTACGTGGTATTTGCATCCTTGCTGTCAAAGGTCAGCTCATGCTTCCGCTTGGTAGCGGCTGTTGCTTGAAGACCCATTGCTGAATTAACCTGCAAACAGAATCAAAAATTGTCCCGATTAAAGTTTGCCGTCATAAATTGTATAAAATAGGCAAGGCTCACAAGGCAAGACTTAAACATACCCTGTAATACAGAAAAAGCCTGAAAAACTGAAAGTTCATCTTTCTAACTCAATCATGCTATCAGCAATATTTATATATATGCATATCCAATATATATATATATAGAGAGAGAGAGGGAGAGGGAGAGGGAGCTTACATCCAGCCTTGCATTGCACTCCAATGTAGCTCATTGCTCGCAGAGCACAGCGCATAACAAGCATCTGAATGCCGTCTCATAAATTGTGAACCACTGCACAAAGCAGTAGCAGCCAATGAGTGAGCCACCCAGAGCCACCCAGCGCCAGCTTGTGCCTCGCAGCCAATGTCAGGCGCCTGTCTACGTGCCCAGGGCCCAGGACAACGACAAAGGGCACAAAAACTTATCAAGAAAATGGAAGTCGCACGGCAACAACAAGAAGAACTCACACCCAGCATGCCCAGTCGAGCTCATCGCAGCCACCACCAGCACCACCAACACTGCAGCATAATGAAAATGGAGAGACAGTCAGCCAGCCAGCCAGCCAGCCAGCCAGGCAGCCACCCTCGCCACTAACTGGCTGGCATTGCTCATCAGTGCTGCTGCTCGAAATCTTCTTAAAATAAAACAAGGCAACAGCGAGGGAGACCGCTGCAGGGTCAGAGGCATCAGCGTGGGACTGAGTCTGGGACTGGCAGCCGCTGAGGCTGATGGCTTCAATGTCTTAGCGTTCATTACTTCCGCCTTTTGCGTGAGTTTCTCGAAACTATTTTTGGGGGCCGCGTTTTCATGATTTTGGAAATTCACAATGAATAACAATGCCACAGCGCCTAGCGAGCGTTGCGTTGCAAAGTTTTGATGCAATGGGAATTACTAAAGAGTATTTCGATGAGCACTGATGCTCGATCAACTGGCAAAGAGCCTCAGAACTAGCTGAAGTATTCTATATAGACAAATATATATATATCACTAAGAGATATGCTCCTAAAGCTTATAGACAGACGGACTAAAGTTTTGAGCTCAATCGATCAACTGTGAATCAGTTGAAATATTTATCTATATATATATATATACAGATATATATATATTTATAAATCTCTACTATAATTCTACTAGAACATTAATCGCCCTTGCATTGCTATATTTTGGCAGTGTTGCCACCCTATCTGCATGCTTGAGCACTCTCCCCTGGCCTCGTTCAGCAGCTCTGCCAGCCGCGCTGCACATGAACGTTGCAAACGGCACAGATGTGTGAACGTTTCGTGGCATGAACGGGCCTTTGTCAGACTTATAAGGGTTGCCATATGCTCGTATATTTCTGCACTCGGAGGGGGAATGCGAGCCTGAGCCGCAGCCTGAGCCGCAAGCAAACGCATCGGGGTGAGTTTTCGTTTCGTTTCGTTTCGTTTTCGTTTGCAGTTTCTTGTTTTTTCATATATATATAAATATATATATATATTTTGTTATCGTCATCGAGGTCGTCGTCGCATGTGTTTCACATTTTCTTGCCCTTTTTCCAGCCCCGTTTGGGCTCTGTCTGCTTGTTTGTCAGCCGTCTGGGAGCTGGTTCGCTCTGCATTTGGTTGCTGCTCAGCGTCAGCCGCATCATCGTCGTCGCGTTTCATCCCTCGCGCGCTGTCTGCAGCTGTAGTTGCGGCATAGGGGCTGCCGGTCTAGACTTATGACTAACTGCGTCGAGCAGCTTGCGTCAACTGTGCCGCATCTTGAGGCCGAGCTGATCGCAGTTCCTCATAATCTTTGTCATCGATTCGTTGTTCGTTCTTTGTCAGCTGTACAGTACGTGTGTGTGTGTGTGTGTGTGTGTGTGTGTGAGTCACTGCCTGTGCTCGTTGCTCATTGCTCATTGCTCATTGTTTGCCATTGTCGCTGACCACACGGCGTATGTGGAATGCCTGAGACAAGCGCATTGCGCATACGCCGCGTGCGCAAGCCGAGCTGTGGGGGCTTGAAAGCTGCTCTCCCATTAAAAGCTCAGCTGCAAAGCTTGCAAACGGAAATCAAAATCCCAAAGACAACAAACACAAATAACTTTCTACGCTAATTTGCCTTCAAAAAAAGTTGTTACAACAGCGAGCGGAGAAATTGTTGTTGCCGCAGTTGGTGTGAGTTAAAAAGTGTTGCTATCATTATAAGCAACAACAGCAACAACAGCAACAACTTCGCTGGCCGAAAGTCATCTTCGAAGCAGCCAAGAGAGCAGCAACATGATTTGAGCTGCGTTCACTGAGATTGCAACTGCGACTGTTGGCAGTTGAATTTTATTGCCACACCAGCATCAGCATCAGCATCAGCATCAGCATCAGTCAGCTAGCCAGTCAGCCAGTCAGCCAGTCGGTCCGTCAGCCAGTTGCAAGCAGCTACAGCTACAGCACTCACAAAAGCCAGTCAGGCAGCCCCGTCAAGCGTTCGTTGCTTTTTTACGCTTCGCCAGCAACTCGTTTCAGCTGGCAGCGACGACGACGACGACGACGACGGAGATGGCAGCGGTAAGTGAAGACGGAGACGGAGACGGGGCCAGAGACAGAGAAGCAGACGGCAACTGGCTCCAAATTGACGGCTGAAGCTGACTCGAAAGCTCGCACGCAGCGGTGCAGTTGTTACTGCTGCTGCTGCCGCTGCTGCAACGACAACGACAACAGCAACAGCAACAACAACATCGTCGTCGTTGTCGTTGTCGTTGTCGTTGTCGCTGTCCGTCGCTACCTTCAAATTCCACAATATTCAAGTTTCAGGTTATGAGCCAACCAAGCGACCGAACAAACGAACCAAATGAACGACCAAGCGACCGACCCAGCGACCGTCCAACCAGCCAACCTGAGAGCCAGTCATCGTCAACAACAACAACAACAGCAACAGCAGCAACACGAAATGTTTGCCCGAAAGCCAAAGCCAAGCCGAGAGCCGCAGAGTCTCAGAGCCAGGCCAACAGTTGAAACCTCGCAACGTCCGCTTCGCTGCACAGTGGCGCAAAAACAAATGAAAATTATAAAAAATTTCTAAATAATTATGAAATTAGTAATTTATAATTAGGAATTTAAGTATACTTTGTAAATAATAATAATAATAATAATAAAATAATAATAATAAAATAATTATGAAATTAGTAATTTATAATTAGGAATTTAAGTCTACTTTGTAAATAATAATAATAATAATAATAATAATAAAATAATTATGAAATTAGGAATTTAAGTCTATAAATAATGCCCAATCGAAGCTCTGATCAAATATCTCTAATCAGTTAGGCAATAAATGAATTATTTTTATTTTGTTTATTGAGTTAGCTGTGAGAATTCAAGAAGAAAATAATAAATCAAGAGCTAAGGCAAAAATTTGAATAGACTTAAAGTCTGAAATGTTTAGAGTTTGGTTCCACTGTGCCGGCCTTGCTTGGCTCAACTCAAAAGTCGACTTCAGCAATAAAGTCGGTCGCTGGCTCGATTGCCTGCCTGCTCAGGGGTCTGGGCCTGGCTCACAACTCTGGCTCTGGCTCTGGCTCTGGCTCTGGCTCTGTCTGCGGCGCTGTGTTTTGTGGCCACTTTGAATTCTTTAGTTGAAACAACGTGCGATAGCAGCAAATACGAAACGAAACTCAACAACAACAACAACAAAATCAACGGCGACTGAAAAAAAACCCAAGTTTCAGCTTTCGACAAAGCCAAACTGCGGGCCAGCTCTCGGCTCTGAGCCGCCGATCTCACAAGCAATTTAAATACACAAAGCACAAAGAGGAAGAAGAAACTTTATAAACATAAAAAAGAGCGACGAAGAAGAGGAGGAAGAAGAAGAAGAAGAAGACAACGAAGCAGCAGCAACAGCAACAGCAACATTGGAGCAACATAATAAAAACCAGCTCCAACTTTTCGAGACCAAGACCCGAGTTCAACTTGGAACTGGCGACGGCGACGGCAACGGCGACGGCTACAGCGAATGGCGGCTGCTCATCATAATAAAAATGAATTGAATTGAAGACGGGCTGCAGAGATGGTCTCCATGGTTCGTGGCTGGTCTCTGGGCGAGGGCGTAGCGTTCAAGATGACGGCGCTGATATGTGCGACGATTGCTCGTTGTTGTTGCTGCTGTTGTTGTTGTTGTTGGCGATGTTTCCCATGCTGGTTGTTGGCATCGGCTCTGGGTGAAAACTTGGCTGTACACCCACAACTAACAATGCGCGAGCAACGGCAGGCGGGGAGCCTGGGTACGCAGTTATTTGCTTATAGCGGCACATGACGTTGTGGGAAAGCAAAGGGTTTGTTTTTTCCGCCTTTTTTGTAGTTTTCAAATGAAACTAGCCTAAATACGAAAACAATCGCAGTCGCAGTCGCAGTCGCAGTCGCAGTCGCAGTCACAGTCACAGTCACAGTCACAGTCACAGTCGTCGTCAGTCTTGATGTTGTTGTTGATTATAATGATGATGATGTTGGTGAGGCTGTTGCAAGGTTAATACGCTTGCAAGGCGGGTGGAACGGCTGCGGGCAGTGGGTAGTTTGTTATATGCGCATATTTTGCGTCGGCCATTTCATGTTGCCGCACGAAGTGCGCCACACGACTGAGAGAGTCCGATGTGGATGCTCGATGGCGGAGTCGCCGTCGCTGTCGTCGATTGGCACTGCAGGAAGCGCCGCACAAAAGCGAAATCAGCTGTTTTTGGCGAATTTAGAGCAATTTTCAATGCGGCCGCTTTGGTGGTTTTGGTTTTTCGATATGTATATATATATATATATATGTGTGTGTGTGTGTGTGTGTGTGCGAGGGGGACTTTTTGCTGTTTCTTTTTTTGCTGTGCCGTGTCGAAGATTTATAAGCAGCGACAGCAGCAGAGAAGTTGGCGTCGCGCAATTGGTGACATTGAAAATTTGCAAGGCTCGGCTGATGAACGGGGCGTAGGACGGGTTACGGACTGCGGGTTACCCTGTCAGTATGTCCATGCA